ACAGTTCAGTAGACTGTAAATTTTATGGGCATGTGTTTGTGGTTGAAAGTTTACTGCAAATATGTACTGTGCAATAATTTAGTCAAATTTTCTGCTAGTAAAATTCACATGACTGAATTAAATACATAAGTAATTCACACTTTGCAAAAGGACTACCAGGATTCCAGTGCTCTACCATCTGCATGTATTTGAGACCTGCAGCCATAGGATAAAGAGGTTTCCTGGTGACAAGGTCTTTGTTGTGGTGGTCATTTAAAAAAATCGTTTTGTTTTATAAGGGGATTGTACCTACAGTGCTGGGAGATACAAATTCAGGAAATTTTACTTTTTCTGCTAATACCTGAGGGAATTTGATCAACTTACTCCCATCAAAAGACTATTTTTTTCAGCATCATGAGACCCCTTAAAAATACGTTCCTCTCAGAAGTGAGTTTTGGAAATTGCTGAATTTTTCTGCTTTCTCAGGATGGTCCAAGCTTTCTAATGGGAGGCAGAGACTGAAGTCAGTGCCATTTCCCCCTAGTCTTTACCCTTTTCTGTTAAGCAGACACAGCACAGGACTGAGCAGTGCTGGGGCCAGAGAGCAGTTTTGCTGAGCATCAGCCCACCTCTGCCTTTAAACATTTTGTCTGTAACTCTCTGTATGTGTTTGTTGAAGGTGCTCGCTCCAGCTTGTCTTTGTTCCTTCAGAACTTCAACACTGTAGGAGCTTCCCCGCAGCCTTCCTGGCTCAGCCACCCCCTTCCCACGCTGCCCCAGCACTCGGCAAACGTCCCATGGAGAAAACATTCGAAGCTCCTCTTCGCCAAACTCTTACGCCAGCTCACAGGACTACTGGAAGTTCTGCTGCTTTCTCTTTACTTACTAAAGTCACTCTGTCCACAGCACGTTCTCAGCCTGTGCCCAGACATGGCAAATGCTCTAAAAGAGGTGCTCTCAGCTCACCTACAATTCTAGGTCGCCTGGTCCTCTTCCCTTTCACAATTCTCTGGTGTATTTTAATAGAAAGTGTTTGTTATTTTTTTTTTAAAGTTTCTGGTTATCGTAGCAGGAGAGGTGGCTGGCTGCTCCTTTCTGGAAGCAGAAGTCTTTCTGCAGGTGCAGAGAAACTGAGCAGCCTGCCTTTCTAACCGCTTTCATCAGTTTGTGAAAATAAACCCATATTGTACAAACCCAGGAACGTCTTTTCCTCTTTGTCCTTTCCAGGCAGGAATGGTTTCCATTTTCTCTTTTAAAATTAGCACAACTTGTTATGTCCCATTAGAGATACTGCACTCCATCTCCTAAGGTGGTTTTCATCGTACTGCCTTTGAGTCCACCAAGGCACAGGGGCTCACGACCCTCGAAGGCTGGGGTCACGAGGGCGCAGGTGCTGATGCCACCCTCGATCCCCTGGTGCCACGGTGAGGCTCGCACACAAAGCCTGCAAGGGCTGCTGAGGCACGGAGGGACTCGTGCACGGGATGTCTCGGGTCTTCTGGGTACCAGTGATTCCCGGCCTCACGCCCACAACACTGCAGCGCTGTTTCACTTGATTCTTACCCTTGTTTTATGCTTTGTCTAGACTGACAGTCTCTTCTGCTCAGCATTTAACAGTATTATTTTCCTCACCTTCTGATCTTCTCCATTTTCTTCTCTCATCTTATATTCTGTCTTGTTTACACAGTCATTCTCTCCTATCACTTCTTGGTTTTTCTGAGAAATGGAGGCCTTTTAAAAAGGGCACCTTTCTTTCCATGTAGCAAAGCAGACAATCAGAATGTCCCACGTCAAGTGCTCAGGGCTGTGGTTTGTCACAGCTCAGTCTACTGTTAGTCACCCAAAGGCTCCCTTTGCACTGCCAAATCATAATTGAATTTTCTTCTCCTAACTCCGTATCCAAAACTGCCTACCAGGCAGAGGGTTTGGAAAGACCAAACCCCAGAGATCCCTAACCTGTGATTCTTTGATGTAATAATAATGCGCGCACGTATTCGGGGTATAGTCTGGGAGTCAGGATTGTAGTAGGCGGGGTGACTTTTTGACTTATCATCTGTGTCTCCGTCGGGGTAACCCTGGGGAAGGGTAAAGCGAGGCAGCCCTTCATCCAGAACATTCTTAGCTGCACAGCAAAGTAAAAGCCCCGTGTAATGGCCGGCATTAAAAAGAGGAGAAGGAACCAGATTCAGTGATACTGTACTCCTGTGAAATACGAAAATCACTTGGCCATTTATTTAAAAAAAGGCCCGAAGTGCAGCTTTACTGGGGATTCCACATAAATCGTAGGGGTCTTAGAACACAGCCTGGAGGCCCGGCCAGGACGCCTCCTTGATGGTAACTTGCGGCCCCTGGTTTATGAGAAACTCTGAGAAACCATATGCACCACATGACCCCCCTCCTCTGAAGAAAACTTGGAACTGCCTTTGCTTTTTTCGCTTATGTTGAAGTTGTTACTGCCATCATGAGTTTTTCATATTTAACGTGGTTGTTAAGAGCAAAATTAAAAGGAAAAAAAAAAGAGTCAGCAGCGCCAGTTAGAAGTCACTTATGGGGCTTCTCAGGGGCTTCTCCGGACCGCAGCCCCCAGCATCCTGGCTGCCATCCTAACATCTTCTGAACCCGAATGCTCGGGGGAGCCTAGGACGGTGCCTGATGGATGCTGCCCACACTCGTTCATTGCTGAGGTTCTGTGACATGTAAGGAAACCCACGGTCCAGTCTACCTGGCATGTTCAGTTTTACTTATTTTTACCACTATAAAAAGTTTTACTCTAAAAAAGTTTTACTGTGTTTTACCACTATAATTACTACCCCTTTACACTCTAAAGCTTTCCAATTTGGGCAACAAATACATGGCTTCTTCTAGCTGCGCACACTGTGTGCTAAGCAGACACCAAGGGGAGAAGCCCGTCCTGCGGGAATTCATTCTCTTTGGTTATAAAGTCCGTCATCTTTAGATGACTTAACCTAGGGTCTCAGGAGTACACGGTGAGGCAGATTCTGGAGGTGACAGGGGACTAAACAGGCAGAGGAAAAGGGGACATATGAGCACCAGCAGGGCTCCCGGAGACACAGGGTGTGCAGAGCAGGGAGGTGCCCAAGATGTGGGACCAAGTAAAAGCCAAGTGTGGGAGCCAGGAAGGGACCAGACCACAGGGGACCTCTGACAACAGCATGAGCGGTGTGGGCTGCATCCTGCAGGCAGTGAGGAGACGTAGGAAGTTTAACGTGGTATCAGATCAGACCTGGGAAATGCGGGTAGATATTTTCAGATGAAAAACGCATCTTAATTCTTAATTAAAATAAAAAATCCCTCCCAAGTTATAAAACAACCCTGGAACTTCTCATCTGTCTTTACCATCTCGAAGTTTCAGTTTCCTCTCTGCCTCCAAGGATTTAAAAGGCAGAAAGGGACAGCATTTTAATCCAAGGGTCAGCAAACTTTCTGTATCCCAGCTGAGAGTAAAAATGTAGGCTGTCTGGTCCCTGCGGTGTCTTGTCACAACCTCTCAACTCTGCCATTGCAGCGCAAAACACTGCAGCCAACACAAGCAAGAAAATGTGGCTGTGTTCCTTTAAGACCTTATTTATGAGAATACATGGCCGGCTGAATCTGGCCTGGGGGCCAGTGTTGGCTGATTTCTGCTTTAACCCAGGAGGAGTTGTTTACAATCCCAACTCCTCTTGTGTGAATTAAGTTGAGCTTTGGAGAGTGTGGCTTGTTTTTGAGATGACGCTATTAAAGGTGGGTCACAAAGGGGGTAGTGGGGGGTGTGACCTGGGGAGTGGACGGCCCTGAGCAGCCACATCCTGGGCACAGTCACCTGTACTGTGCGGTGGGGACCAGACACCCAGGGTGGCCACCCCGAAGTTACCTCGGCTTGCTCGGCTGCGCATGCGGACGCCCAGCGCCGGGGTGGTGTCCTCCACGGTGGGGGACGAGGTCTTCAGCACAGCCTTCATGTTCTCGTGCTCAGCAGCATCCTCGGCGTAGCTCAGGCCCTGCGGCTGGCTCGGGGGCGCCGGGGACCCGCCAGAGAACTTGCCAGACTGCAAGACCAAGGCGGGTGAGGGCGTGAGATGACTCCCCAGATGCCACCCCAAGCTCATCAAACGTTTAGCCTAGGAAAGCCTTCTCTCCTGTTGTTTTGTTTATGTGTGTTCTGCAGTCACGTTAGTGATGGTGGCCAAGGAACTAATGACAAAACATCTGCATCTCCGGGAAGTTCTCTTATCGGAAGAAAAGCCTTGGTCCCAGAAGGACCACACCCACTCTCCATGGGAGTGGGTCACTGCAAATTCCCTCAGTGGGAACCCACTGGGGGCGACTGACATTGATCTGGGAAGAACTCAGAAACCAAGCCTGTTTCTAACACCAAAGCCCTGATAGGAGAGTTGAAATATGACCTGTAAATCAAATAGAGTGAGATTTTCCTTTTTTAATTTAGTGCCAGAAAGCAGTAAGAATTTTCTTCTATATCACTCATGATGGTAGAATTTTAAAAGTGGGCTTCCGTCACCGAATCATACAATGTCAGCAGCTGGGAAGGATTTTCAGAGAAGGAAACTGAGGCCCTCCAAGATTAAGTGACTTGCCTAAGGCCCCAGAAGGATTTGATTCAAGGCCCAGATCAGAACATGGCACAGAAATTCACGCTGCCACTGCGTCTGGCAATGCTCGCTACTTGTTGCTGTGTC